AAGATGTCTAATGTACAAAACTGCTAATGTTTATCTTTAAAAATGTCTAATTTTTAGTATAATCTATACTATACACTAAATTTGGTTATAAATAAATTTCTTAATAATATCACTGCAGATTTTCAATAACACATGAAAATGAATACATAATATTACAAAAGATGTGAGCTTTCAAAAGTACAAGATTTTGGTTACTATTCAAAATATAAGTGTTTCTTCAAAATTTAAAATTTATTTTTTCTAGAACATATTTAGAAACACTATTCTTTATAAAAAAAAATATATAAATTTTATGCATTAATTAAATTTCACTTATGAATATAGGTTTTTGACATTTTCGACAGTGAGGTTTTTGACGTGACGGATTAAACCATGGTTTAAACTGTCAAAAACTGTCACATGTCAAAAACCTGCCAACCCTGGTTTTCTTCAACACCAAGTCTATGGAAAAAATTCCGTGCTTCCCAAAAGTGGTTGTAAATAGAGGAAGGTGGTCTTTCCTAGAGGTTTCACTGTAATTAAAAACCATATTTAATTAAACAAAATTAAAATTATTTTACTCTTTCCTTTCCAGGGTACCTATGTAACATGTTTTAACTGTCAACGAATCTTTGAATTGTAAAACAAATTATGAATTTTTTATTCTTAAATAAATGTCTATATTTTCTTTCGTGCAATTCTTTTATTTCAATAAAAAACAACTAGAAAAACCAAGAATTGTGAAGATTTGTATTCCAAACAGAACTGGAGCCTTAGTTATCAAATTTCAAACATTTCTAAAAAGTCTTATTTACAATTTAATGTCTTTTTAACCCTATAGCTTTTAAATAGGAAATGTATATTTCTTTAGTTCAAATTTACTTGCTTACTTTAAGAAGAAATTAACTGGTGATAGAAAGGATTATTTTGCATTTCATATAGCAGGGTTAGTGTTTATGCGAGTTTTATTAAAAATAAACATGTGTTGTATAAAAAGAAACTTCATAGCAGTTATGTTTTTTAAAGCTCTGCCATATCTCTAATGCAGAAGAAAAAAGTAGAACCCTAAGGCACACTGGAACTTAGACTGGGGTTCAATAAGTGATCCCTATTTGCTTAATCAAATCGCTAGTAAAATTTTAATTTTTATAAAAGATCAAATTCTTAAAGGTAGTTTTCCTGTAAAATTAAACAATTATTCCAGGCACAAAAATTTCTATCAATATTTTATAATTTGAAATGTCACTTTTGTTTATTATTCGTAGAAGCTAATAGAGTTTGTTTTTTTTTGACTCACTATTCATTATATTATTAAAATGTTTGTATTGTGATAAAATAATGATTTTATATATTTAGTAGAACAAAACTTTGATAACCTATGTTTTTAATTCCAATGCAAAATCCACTTCATCATTACTTTCTTTCACACATCATTGCATATGTTAATGTGAATAACATGTTTCTTAATGTGAATAAAAAATCAAATAAATTTCACCAATTTATTTTAAAGCAAATTTATGTTTTAGAAAATTCACACTAGTAACACTTCAATCTGAAATAAAAACTTTTGACAAAGTACTTTTTATGACATAATTCTTTTTTCAAATACTATTGAGCTAATCTAAAGTATAAATTATAATCTACTAAATTTTTCAACAAAAATATAAACTAGAAATGTTTAACTAAGAAAGAAATAAAGCATAGAATAACAATTAGGAAATACTGAGTTGACAATTTAAATTACTCATAGGTTCAATTATGAATGATATAAATATGTTTTGCATGTCTTATACATATATATTACTCATAATGTACATATATACACCTTTCCGACATAAATAACTTGTTATTTAAAAGTATACATTCACAAACATTATTCACTCAACAACAACTAGTTTCACATTTAAATGTGTCGAGACATTTTCTCAACCACACTTTGCTTCATCCAAAATCTAATTCCAAATATTGGAATAAGTAGAAATTCTCAAACATAGTCTGTAAAATTTATACTTGAGGTATATTTATTGTGTAAACTGCTTAGCTATCACATTATGTTTCAAAATTAAAATTTATTAACTTACTATTGTTAAAATTAATCTATAAAATATATTTAAATAGATTTTTAAAAAAATATATGTTATTTTAAATCATAATTCTTAATTAACCATTAAATATTTTTTATAAAGGTCTTATAGTAAAACAGTACCATGCCACAAGAAAAAATAGAGATATTGTATTTAATGGTTTTAAAAGAATCTCTAAACTTTAATTCTTACTGTTAAGTGATTTATTATTATTTAAATTCTTTACAGATAATAACAGAAATATATATGTGAAGATCTGAGTGAAAAAACATGTTTTAAGAACATTCCAATGTTGAGGTATAATATGCTATGGTTAGTTGTATATGGATAAGTTTAATGTTTTAAAAAATGTTTTGAAGATAATAAGTTTTAAAAAACAAACTATGTACATATAGTTCCTGATGTTTATGTAAATACTTGTTTGTCAAGATTTTTTTCTCAATTGACATGTTTCTTTATTATCTTCACATATAAAATATCTCTTATTCAAACCAAGGACCAGATTCTACAAAATAAACAATTGCAGTACTTCATAGTTTATAAAGAAAAATCAGTTTAGTAATGCAATGTGAAGACACTTTAGGGTTAAAATTTTCAATTTAAAATCAAAAAGGCTTATCTCCTTTTCCACGAGTTATATTATTCTTGAAAGCGAGCCCATAGTGTGAACACAGAGAAACTGCACCATACAGAGTCTGAATATATTTGGCAATCAAAGTGATCTTCCTAATACAGCCAAAAAAAAAATTTAGCCTTCAAAAGCCTGTTTTATAGTGTGGACTACAGTAAAGCTCAATATTCATAGTTATGTATGATAATCTGGACAACACTACAATAAGATGCTAAGATAATCATGACTAAGATAAGACTAACTTACTAGAAAATATTTGACTGATAAAATTTATTCTAATGTTATATTTATTTAAGCTGACAGAAAATATTAAATGCAACTAATATAACAATCACAATTTTAAAAAATTAATTACATTTGAGACTAAAATGGTTTATTCTCTTTATTTTTGTCTTAAATTTCAAAACAAGGTTATTTTAGATAATTTGTTCATATCCCTGTTTAAACACTGAATGCAAATGTTTTTAAGCATAAAAACTAAAATCAGAAAAATGTCACAAGGTAAATAAATGAATATATTTTGTATAAAATTTTAGAAGTCTGGAAGTGTTTGTTTTTATTTATTTATAAACAAATTTTTAAATTTTTCCATGCCTGAATAAATGGAAGCAATAGAAACATTGCCAGAAACCTGTGATGTTGCGATTCTCGTCAATTTTTTGTTAAAGGTTTTATTTTTTAATAAAATTTATATTTATTTATATGCTGTTCATTTAAATAAATAGCTACTCTTTATTAAAATAGCTAAGATGTCATACATCAATTAAATATTTGACGATAGCTTTTTAATATTTTGCTTAGCATAGCAGAAACCATAGTTCATATTAAACTTAACAATATGTGCAAATGCATTAATGCTATTAAATCTCCAGCAATGCAAAAAACTACCTACCAATAAATTACTATGTAATACACTAGGTATGATAAGTCAGATTGATAAATTTCTGAAATACAAGAAAAATTATTTCATTAATTTATGTTTTAATTAAATGTTTGATTCAGCTGATTAAAACTTTTATTTTAAAAATTTTATCACTTTTCCTATTTCGGAAACTTAATAGAAGTACGTTTAAAATCAATAGGTCAAATATAAAAAAATAATTGCAACAATAAATTAATAAACCATAATGTTAGATTTATATAACAGATGAAAAAAATTTAAAATTGATCAAAAAATTTATACACAAATTATAATGAAAATGTTTTTGTTTTTTTGTCTTTGTTTATATGAATAAAATTTTGTTCAAACTTTCATTTTACGAATGCCACTTTGAGCCCTGGTATTGTGAGTATAGCTTCTTCGGGTGGTGTTTGTTTTACCGGAAGAAAGGTTAGTCCTATGTAACCGAAGTCTCCGAGACATAGGAAATGTCCTTTGAGCCAAAGTACTTTTTTTGGATTGTTTTATTTTGCAAGGAACCACTTTATTTTTCTGAGTAACAGAAATTTGCTTTGTACTCGCAGAGTTTTCTATATCTGAAGTCCTGTCATTGTTTGTATAAAAATTATCCAAATGAGACCAACCATTTTCTTTACAGTTAGTATCATTTGGAGGAGAACTATCTTCTTTTTCACATTTTGAAAGACAAGACTCAGTTCTCCCTACTATCACATTTGACAGAGAGTTTATTTTGTCTTTTCCATTTTCACTAAGCATACTTTTAGTAACTGACTCATCATTATTTTCTGAAGTATTATTGCTGGACTCACTTAGCGTGTTGTTCCTAGATTCACTTTTATTCCTGCTCAAAATTGAGTTATTGTCATCTACTCCATCTCCAGGTGGATCATGCCCTTTCCTCTTTGATTTTGGTTGTAAAAGAGGCTGATTCGACACACTAGGCTCAGGGGTCTTCAATTTTTCAGCCGTCGGGTTCGAGTTTTCAGGACTCAGAATTGGAGCAGATGCTCCCGGAGTGACTGTTTGCTTTACAACAACTCTTTGAGGTGATAATATAACAGGTTTCGGCAGATTTTTTGGTACAGGTTCATCAGAATCAGAAGACAGCTTTTTCTCCTTGCACACATTTTCAGGAGCGAAGTCTGAAAATCTCTTTCGCTCTTTGGGAGGAGGAGACTCGAAATTTTCATTTGGTCGCTTCTTCTCTTTTATAACAACTGAAGGAGGTGTGTCAAAGGCATTCAAATTCTTTGCATCTGAAGCTATAATGAAAAGATTTTTATTAGATAAAAACAGGTAAGAAAAAAATAAATTAGTAAACTTTCTCATTACAAATCAAAACTATAAATTTAATGAAAACCTTCCATGTGATTTATTTTACTATAGCAAATAACAATAACTTGAATTAAAAAAAAACATTGATAAATGTTTACTTTCTGTGCGCGGCCTACATTGGCAGACCCTGATTATATATAAATTTAATTTAGCCTAAACAACTGATTAGTTTTATCTCAACTTTATTACTCCGAATAAAAATTTCAGATCAAAATCACCCTTATATTCAATCACCTGTAATATTTCAAAACCTACAGACAAATAAAAGTAACCCTTTAACGATCACATTATCATTATAAATAAATATTATTTATAATAATATATATTAATTCCACATTAAAATAAAACACCATTAAAACATAAGCATAAAATCTATGCAATTTTATATTCGAATTTCATTAACATACCAGCCAACTCTTCCAGATTATCCAGACAATTTTATTTCTATATTTCATGTAGGAGCGAAATGTTTACAATTTAACAAATTTGATTTAAATAGTTAGAGCATACATAAAGATGACCGACCAACTAATTTTTTTATTGAGTGATAGTGATAAGTGAACTAAATATTTACCTAAAATATTCACTAATAATGGGACTTTTACGGAAAAACGTAAAGTTGGCAGGTATGCCTTAAAATGTTGATGTTGCCTCCCTTAATATTATAATACATTTTCTTTGATCGGGCATTTACTATCCCATACCAAAGTTAGCAATTTGAAGGTAGAGACACAAAAGTGTAACTTACATTCTTCAAGGAGTTCATCACGTGGTCTCAATCTTTTCATTACTCTTTGTCTTAACAAAACTTCACTTTTAGGTGGGCCTGGAGGATCAAGCATAACAGTTACAACACTTGTGTTGTCTGCTCTCATACCCAATTCAAACCAATGATTCAGTGCTGTATCAACCAATAGCTTTGAAGGATTTTTTGGCTGAGAGCTCTAAAAAAGAAAAATCAATATTTAACCAATTCATTTTACAAGTGAACAAAACTATGAAAATTAATAAGATTAAAAATTATGCAGAACTTTTTTTTAATATCTTTAACTCATTAATGCCCAATTTTTTTTTCAACCTAATATTCCACTTGTTATCATTGTTAAATGAAAATTAAACTTTAAAAATATTATTTTTAAAAAAATCAAAATGTCCCAATATTGGGATTATAGGCATTTAAATATGAATTCAATTTTGAATAAAACAAGTATCATGTGAAATATTATTAAAAATTAAGTCCTTATTAATAAAATAAGAATTTTAGTTTATCTCAAAAAAATAAAATTATTTTATAGCAAAGTCCTTTAAACATTTTCATACAGTCCAATTTTGCATTTACTGCACTTTCTAGTGACCTTTTTCCCAGAATTTCTGCAATGTAACTGTGTTTTTTACTTTTACAAAATGGTTTATACCATCATATCTAATTTGATCTTGCACTTAGCATCTGCTTTTATGAGTAAAAGGTCTACCTAAACTAGACGGCTACTGTAGAAATACATGTTATTGAACCACCGATAGATGGCGGAGTTTATCATTAGATTGTAACCGTAACTGCAAACTAAGATTTTGTAAAAAAGCAAGAACATTGTAATGTAGTAGTAGAATTGTCTACCATTGTACCGTATTATTCATGTTAACGATTTAAATATATTTTTGTTACTTACCCCTTGGTAATTATTGAGTAGTTTTCCTGTGCCATCAAGAAAACGAGAAAAAGGCTATATTCACTAATAATAGTAATAAATCTTCGGTGTATTTTACCCTATTAGAATTGCTTTAAGTTGAAAAGCGAAAGCTACTAAGGATAGGCTACCTAGACTAGGTCTACCTAGAAAGCGATCTTTGACAACACATTAAGCACATTTCTCATTTGAAGCTTAGAAAATCCAACAGTTAAGAAAAAGATGTGGATATATATGCTACAATGTGTGAACCATGATGTGCATATACATTTACAGTTTCAAAAACTAACATATGAAACACAAATTTCACATTTCATTATCATATTATTTACATAGAAATATTTCAGATTTTTTAAAATTTATCAGTGTTAAATTTTTATTAAATCTGTAACATAATGCATTGTTTAAGAAGCTTCAGTTTTAAGAGCGTTTCATTAAAATATTTTAATATTTTCAGAGAAACTTTCGTTTTCTAATTTCTAGTAATAACAAGAAAACAAAAATTATACAGACTTAAGACTTTTCTAAAATTATAAAATATTTTCCCAATTCTCACAATTTCTACTCTTATAGTTTGCTTTAAAATATCTTTATGCGTAAATAAGTAATTTGATTAAAAAAACTTTTTTTTTAAAAAATTGCGCAAATTTGTTAAAAAATATTTACTTCATTCAATAACTGAAAGTAAAATTCATGAAACGAAAAAAAGAAAAAATAACATATTTAAGAAAACTAAGAATTTATTTTAACAATTAAATATGACAAGAATATATAAAGAATAAGAATATATGTTTAAATTAATTTTAAAAAATATCCTTTCTATAAAAGTTAGTAAGGCACAAAGAAAAAAAAAGTAGCCTTGTGTTCCTACCTTTCAAAAATAAAGATTATATATAATTGCTCAACAAACAAGTAAAAAGAAAAAAATGCAAAAATATGTATTCTAAAATAATATTTTATCTATTAAATAACATTAGTTATAAAATGATTGACTATAAAAATAAATACAATACTTTAACTTTCCTTATCGCCATTTTTATCAGGGGGAAAAAAACACTTCCATTATAATCAAACCATCTGTTTCACAGCTTTAATTTTAAAAATGTGTTGCCATCTCTTCATATATATTAAGAAAAAATACTCAGGCTATGCATTGCATACTTTTGAAGAGTTCTAACACATGTTGCTCCTTTGCGAAAGTTTTAAAAAAGCATCCAAAAATTTATATGATGCCAAGCACAAATTAGTTAAGAATGGAATCACAAATCTTTAAGTATAAAATTTCTCTCTCTCTCTAATTTTTTTGGCAAGTTTTAAATATGAAACTAAATTAAATAGCGTAGTCATTGGTACAGTAATATTAAAATATAATAAACTCTTTGATTTTTCTAGATTTTTAAAAGTGGATGCATGTTTTATTATTATTCTTTTAGTTGTGTCTTATTCATATACATAAAATATATTACAAAATACTTATACTGGCAAGGCCTTCACTAAAGTCAGCATTAAAAAATATTTGCTTTAATCAACCCCGGAAAAAATCCAGATTTCCGGAATTTTCGCTAACAGTGATCCGGAAGTTTCCGGAAATCGAAGGTTCAGACGTTTCAAACAATCATTGATCACAGAAGTTTTCGGAAATCAAATTTTTAAAGGTGGAACTTAGAAACATAGTTTATTTTATTTGTTTGTAAGGGAGAGCCAGAGAGATACTTTAAAGCTTATATTCATGATTAATATGATTTTTTTTATCAGTAAATAGTTGTTATAATCATAAACTGAAGAAAGAAAGACATGTTTGTAAATTTTAATTACTTCTCCAGGTCATCATAGGTATGTTTAAATGATATAGGTATGTGTAAAATTTTAAATACAGTTTAAGTAAACTAAGAAATATTCAGAAAAAGGAAAAAAACCTTGTTTAAATTTTTTCAATTTAAACTTTTTTTTTAACTCAAGAAATTTTCCGGAATTTTAACTTGGGCTCACAATTACCCCTGTTTAATAGTCCCAAAAGGTCAAAAATAGTAATCTAAATAGCATCCTCTGATAATGAAAGTAGCACATAAGGTAAAAATATTATCTAAAGAAAGTAAGGATAAGATACAGAATGTTAATTTAAAGACCGCCCTTAATATGTATTTTTAAAGATCCTTATCATAAATAAAAACAAAACAAAAAAAGTAAACACATTAGGAGTCTTTAAATTATTATGAAAGCAGGAGAAAATAATAACACTATCAAAAACTGACAGATTACAGAACAAGAAGATAAATGTAATAAACAACAAGACTAGTTTGAGATAAGTTAAAAGGCAATTATTGGAAACACCTCCAATTAAATCTGTTTTGATGTTAATTATACCAGCTTTTCTCTACTGTAATTTGTTGAATTTCGATTAGAACATCCCATATAGCACAGGAAGAACACCCCATATAATACAGAGTTTATGAAACATTTCACTGCAATTGCAAAGTATATAATTATAAAAAATATTAATTTGTAATTACCTTTGCAGAAAAATAATGGACTTGTTACCTCTAACCCTCATTAATTTCCTCTTTGCCTGACTTTTTTTAGTATTTTTTATAACATTCCCTCGTTTATATGGATTTATAAAATTACCTGAATATTCTCCCAAGATCAATCTGATAGGCAACAATTATATTCTTAATATATTCCATACAAATATCAGAATGTGAATTTTAACAAAATGTTTCAACTAACAATAAAATAAAAATAATAACTTACAACTCCATTCATTCGACTTCCATCTAAGATTAGCTTTTCATTTTCTTCTTCAGCTGTTTGCACAATGCGAACAGCCTGTACATTGCTAACCATATTCCAAAGACCATCAGATGCAAAAATTACACAACGATGCACTTGAGGATTAATATTAATTACTTTAACATCTGGATCAGGACTAACAACAAATTCATCACGAGAATAGTTATAACTCCACAAATCACCTGCAAAAACATCAATAAATATAAACTCTGGCAGTGACTTATCTTGGAGTATTTGATATAAATACAAAAGACTTTTATATTGTTCCTTAATTTTATTAAACTAGGTACCTAGAAATAAATTAAATTAAATTTTGAAGGACAATCACATAAATGCTTTTAGGTTTAAAACTAGGAAAATGTGCATTTAAATATCTGTAAAATTAGAAAGGAAGTTTTTTCTGCATATGTTAAACTTTTCAAACCTCTTTGAACTTTATACGATTGATTTCATTAATGTTTTTAATACTCATAAAGCAGTATCTGTGACATAGAATTTATTTTTTAAACATATAAAATATAAGCAAAAGAATATTGAAAAAAGAAAGAAAGAAATTATATTTCATCTTAATTCTCTAAATTACTATATTTTATGTGCAGTATAATGCGAACACGAAATTAAATGCAGTGAAAGCATGAAAATTCAGAATGCACAGTAATTCTAAATTTCAGATAAACGAAAATTTTCATACATTAAGATACATGAATCCTATTTTCCAAAAAAGTGCAACACTTTAAAGAAAACAAAAGTTAATCCATATTTATGCTTTATAAAAAATTTACTCATCTTTAATTTAAAAAAAAATTTTAAAGACAAATAAAAAAAGCTAACATTTTTTTTAAAAAACTTGAAATTTAAAAAAAGAGAAAATATGAGTTACAAAGAAAAGTCATAACGTTACAAAAATATATGAATTAACAAAAACCTATGCTTATGATAAGTGATACAAATGAATATTTAGGCATGTTTTGTGCTTCAATCAAAAAAATTTTCTGTGAATAGGATTCTATTGTACTTTTACTGAACTATATAAGCAAATAAAATAAAAACAAACATTAATAGAACCTCACCCACTTTGTTACATTAATTTATTACATTGAATGGCATGGAAAAATAAGAAAACACACATTTAATTCAAACTAAGCATTTTCTAGACAACCATTCTTCCAATAATAGGTCAATTGGAATAAACTTTTTCTTGGAAATAAAAAAAATTAAATTATAAGACATTTCCATAAAACATATTTCAAAAATTTTTTTAGTTTACCAACTTCAAATAATTTCACACATTTTTTCTTAATAAAAAGCATTACAAACAGAAATAAACTTTCATTGTCGTATAGGTTTATTAATTTAAAAATGAATATTGTTACAAAATATAAATAACTTACAATAAACAAGGGCAACTTACCCAGCGACCTAGCAACAGCTAAAAATGGTATTTGATCAAAGAGTGTACTTCGCCGGACAGGTCCTTTATGTCCAGGCCGTGGGCGATTCCAAACAACTCTCTCTACACCAGCTTTATTTAATACTAAACCACCAGCACTATTGATTCGTTCCCTCTCCTCCGGAGACTCAGGTTTATGATCTTTAGTCAAAGCACATGGACACCATTCTCTTGAACCTGAAATTAAGATATTAATTAATATCAAATTATTAAAATGAACAACTTTTCAATTTCTACAATGATAAAAATAATATACATGAATGAAAGATATATATGTATATATACAGAATAATAAAAAGCTCAAAGAAAAATATTCAAAAATTCTGATTACACATAAGCATTGGAAATCTTAAACAAAAAGTGTATATCCAGGGCTACTGTTTACTAATAAAATGCCTGCTATGCTTAAGTAAAACAGTAAAGAGCATTATCAACTTAAAATTGCTTTTGCTATTACATGTTCAGCAAAAATACATGCAACTACAAATTTTACTGCCACAAACTTAAATGTTAATTACAAAATGACTGTATACAAGTGATATTTTACATACATAGTAGAAATAGTTCCCATATCTGGAATTGTCAGAACTTCAGCAAGATAAGAGGTCTTTAAAGTAACAAGGAACAAAACATACATAATATAATAAAATGGCAATAAATAAATTGTAAATGACATCAATATGTAGACAATAATTTCTTGTTATTAGTTAAATGGCATTTAATTAACAAAACAATATTTAGTATGATAAAATAAATGTCACTAAAATATTGAAAAAAAGAAAGAAAAAGCAGACAGAGGAAAAATTTCACTTCGATTCAAAGACATTTTTTGTACAAAATAACATCAAGTTTCTATATATAATTTTTAAGCACTCTATATTTGCAAAATTTGTTATAGTTAGTTAGATTAATATGAATTTATATAATAGTTTTCTCTGGCTGTGTTCAGTTTGCAGACAAATTCGGTTACCAGGTTTCAGTTTGCAGACACACACACAACCCAAGGTGAATTATGCATTTCGATTTTCAATGGAACTTTCCTGCGGATTGCTATGATGGCGTATTAGAAGAATTCGATTCCCACACAGTTTGTAAGAAAAGTGCTTTTCCTCCTCATGTCTGGCTGATAGCATGCTGGGATCCCGAAACGCCGTGGGAGAAAAGTAGCGTTAGCCACTCTGTTCCTTAATTAACTGAAGTGAAAGTAGTACTATGCAAATCCCATTCTCGGTGAGAGCTATGGAAAAAAAGGAGCTTTTCTGCCAATTGTCTTTTGCAAATAGGTAGCATGTGTTTTTTTTTCAGATAGCGCGGTGTGGTAAGCCTAACTGGTCGCTTATGCCATATTATAACAAGCTTTTTTTTTGCGCAGAGTTTTTTTTAAATGAAATGACGAGGCTGCCTCTCTGTTAAATTTACAGGAAGTTGAAATTCAAGCTATTATTTTAAACATTTTTCAAATTTATTCTAATAGACCTTTATTTTCTTATGAAATATTTTTCTATATGACCCAGTTGAAAATGTTATAATAAAGATAACTTTTAGTGCTAGTACTGTTAAATGTATGTTTTTATTAAATTCAAGTTGAAATTTAATTATTGACATTATGGACAATTAATTATGGACATTAAAATATTTTTTCTTACCAGGTAATTGATATCCTAAAACTATTTTAGAATCACCAACATGTCCAATATACAGCTTTTGGCGACGTATAAAGGCAATACTTGAAGTTGTACCAGATGTACTAGGCAAACCACTAACAGTTTTGGGCCATTTACCTATAATTGGATAAAAACTTACTAAAGATTGGAAAATTTAAAAACACATGTAACAAAGTTGAAAATGCCTTATTTTCAAGAGACAAAATTATAAAAAAAAAAAAAAAAANTAAAAAAATAAAAAAAAAATCTTCCCCTAGCAGTCCAAACTATACACAATGAATGGAATGGATTATATACAATAAAATAATTTGAAAAAAAATACATAGAAATTTAACTTCAAAACAGTAAGTACACTTTATCATCAAATATTAAAATTAATACTTAATCTTCATTTTCAGTATTTATTAATAAAATAATTTTTATCATTTTCTGTGGAATACACTTTAATTTTATAAACTCTTGTTAAGTCAAATATAATCAGAAATTAGTTTAGAAGAAATTTGGGTCCATTTATAGCATTTCACACAATTTTTCATCATTGAAACAGGCCCTTCATAAAATATATAGTAATAAAAACAGGCTTTCAAAAAATTTATAAAATGGATTCTATACAAATTTCTACTTTTGAATTACGAAGAAAAAAAGAATACAGTAATTTCTCGATTATCCGCGGGCAGATAGTTTGTTTTGCTGATCATCCGCACTTCACTTTTCTTTTGCAATGAAAAACAATATAGCATTTAGAATTGAAAATAAATAAATTCATAGAGATGGACTATTTTAAGAGTTTCGAGTACGACATATCAGCAAACATTCATTTTCATACCCCAAATGTTCTAAATAATCAAATAATGGATCTACATTTAAATATTGCAGCTTAAAAAAAGTGTGTTAACCTAAGTAGAAACGAGCATTGAAAGAGTGAAAATGGGGAAGCATTTACAAAGAGCAAGACAGTGCCGGATTATCCATTAGGCCATGGCCTGGGGCACCCAATGATTAGGGGCCCCCTTAAAATGGATTTTTTGAAAATGAATTTTAAAAAAATTAAGAAAAACAATGATTTTTTTTAAAAAATCAATTTCAAATACATATTAAAATTTCTTCAAAATGTTATGATTATTTTTTAGTTCTAATTTATCATAATGAAGTAAAATTTAATTTATTATTAGTCATTTTAATTTTAAATATGCTTTCTTAAATGAAAAGATATATAAATACTTTTATATTTGAATAAATAAAAAATACACGAGAAAAACAACTTAATCGAAGGGCCCCAAAAATTTTAATGGCCTAGGGCCCCGTGTACGCTTAATCCGCCCCTGGAGCAAGGCAACAAAAGTCATGATTTACAGTTGCCAAACTACAATTACAGGATGAAGTTCATATTTCAATGAATAGATACAGCATCCATCAAAGCATTTTATTCAAATCTTGAAGAAAATGTTGCAACTCTTATCAGTTTTGAGAGAAGATTCGAAAAATCGTGTATGCAGTGTAACTCTTTATAAAAACTAACATGTGTGCTTCAAACATAGTTTTGTGCATTCTTTCTTCAATAGTGTATGATTTCCCAAGGTAAAGTCTGATTTTGCCTGTTTTATTTTAGCCTCTGACCTTTCCAACAAGAAACAAAAGAAATTTTAATAATAGATCTTAAAATTTATAAATTATATTTTTTTTAATAATTATGTGTCCTTTTTTTAAGCGTTTTGCCAATTATCTGCGAATTCACTTATCCGCACTTTCTAGGTCACTCAATTTGGTGGAAAATTGGGAGTTTATTGAAAAATTTCAAATGTAGTAACTCAATAATTTGTGTTACTACAAATTTTTGAAAGATTAATATATATATATATTTTACTAAATTAGATCTTATTTCCACGTATTCACAAAATCAAGACCCTGAAAGAAATTACATGATTATACAAAAATTGTAGAATCAGAAAATAATTAGATTTTCAACAAATACAAAATAAGATCTTTCACAGAATGTCAGTTCCACTGCTTTTTGTAACTTCTCACAAAATTACAAACATAGGATCTTATATTCATAACAGTATGAGTAGATTTTTCACAAGACGTCTTGTTTGATAATAATTGAGCTCAGTATTAGAAGCAGTTGAATAAACTAAAAAAAGATGGCAAATATTTTTAAAACATAAGTAATAAGTTTAGTTTTAATTAACAGAAAGTCAAAAAATATTTCGTTTTATCTGAAAACAAACCGAGTAATTTACAAACACATAAAATACAGATCATGCATTCTGAATTGAAATTTCATAAAAACTATTCAAAAATAGTTTTATGACATTCCCAATTCATAATAAATATTAAAAAAACTTGAACATTTTATAATGAATTAATCCAGTATAGAAACAATTGAGGAAAATTCACATTTACAAAACTGCATAGCAAAGATCTCATTCACACTCATTGCTCTATATGCGATCAAAACATAGTTGTACAGCAGACAAAACAAACATATTATGACGTAATGATAAGTTGCTACTGCGCATGCTTGAAGGCAATTGAAAACAAACATGGCGATTAAATGCCTCGATTTCTGTAAGAAGATAGTATAACGAAATAACATCATTTGGCAATTTTTGGACACAGATTATGCATAATTTTACTAGAAATTATCTACAAATTGTATATAACTGAAAAATAAAAGTCACCTGAATTTCAAACAAACGATAATGCTTAAAACCTCTAGACAAACATAGATTTAAAAGAAATCTCGGGATATTTACCAACTTCTCTCCACATAGCATGGTGGGTAGTTAAAAATCCATCACGAATAGCTTTCAATACTTGATCATCATCATCACTCCAAAATGATTTCTGACTTACAATATTATTCATTAGATGTTCTTTAGCGTACAGGGCGGCCTCTCTTCCACCATGGCCATCGAATATGCCAAAGTAGGCATATTCTAAATCTTTTTTGTCTTCACTCGGTTGATACGCAACAACAAAAGCATCTTCCATATATTTTCGACCACCTTGATTACAATGTCCGGTTACACGCAAATTAAGTCCAATGCTTGGTGTCATTGCACACACCGTATTTCTGAACTTTCATGAAAGCGTCACAACAATGAAGACGTCAGCATCTGACATTCAAATACTATTGGTTCGTTACTCTGACGTATGACTGTATTCTTAAGGGGTAGGTGGAGGTGGCTTAATATGAAACTATTTTTAAAAGCTGAACTAGATCTCTAGAGTCCAAATTTCGTCTGCTATTGTCACTGACGCTTAGCTGATAGAGGAAGGTCAAAGGGCCAATCTCACTAAATAAGAATCACGCACTTTCGATTGCTGTGGGGGAAATTGAAAACTTGATTGGTGACTTTTAGCAAGAAAATACTGCTCACATACTTTTTCAGCAGAAAGCGTGAAGCGCATTCAGTGAGAATGGCCTCTTAGGATGAATCAGATCACAACTCTCTACCTATGGCAACAATTCACGTACTTTCACCAATAGCATGTGGATAGTGCAAAAGCGCGTTAATTTCTGTCTCAATTTTCAAATCGTTTAAAAACTTCAAAATTAAGAAACCATATTGAACAGAAAAAGGCATTAATCATAGTCATGAAGGTAACTTTCTTTAAAAAATGTTTTTGTTGATTAAATACGAAAAAAATATTATGGAAGGGAGAAATGTGATAGAACATTCCCATACAAGGGAGAAGGGTCAAAATCGATCTTCTCCCCAGATGGCGATAGCGAAAAATGCGCAGTTTTTGAAATACGGGATGTTTTGGGATTTAAATTCTTAATTTTTGGGAAATAAGCCAAAACCGGTCTGCTTCGAATATGAATTTATAGCTTAAGGTATACAATATCAAATAAAATGTAGAATTTGAGTTTAAGTAGCTTGATGTAGAGTGCGCAAGAAAACGGACCACCCTGAGTAACTTTTTATCTAATGATCGGTTCTTTACGTTCCAAAACAAAATCTTAATGATTTGATGGGTTCATCTCAAATATGCTATTCGATTCGTGAAGACAATAGTCTGGGTTACGAAATCAAACACAGAAACGCACTTTATTTGCATAAGCATACCTTTTTCTTGTAGAATTCGGATTTCTGACACCCAAATTATAGGGGTAGCTGCAATCTGGGAAATATGGACCCCATAGTTTGATCAGTTATCTCACAATTATGAAATTCGTTTATCAAAAGATAATTTCCTTGCAAAAAGTCTTTTTTTTTTATGTATATTCATTATTTTATTTAGTAGTATTCGAAACATTTTGAATTGTTAGTTATACAATTTTTACGTAATTTTAAGTATCAAAATACGAAATTTCACCGAAATTTTATATTTTGACGCTTAAAATGATGTAAAAAATTGTTTATTTCATAATTCAACATTGTTAGAGCTTGAAGATCGGATAATTTGATCAAAGGTTATTCATCGTTGTCTGTTTCTTTAAGTTGCGCACTGCAAATTAATTGCAATAGTTTTCAATTCTAATCTTTCATTCTTCTAAATTCTTCGTTTAAATGATCAAAACTTGCATTACTTTAGTAAAATTTAATTTTAAATTAATTAATTTTAGCTGTATAAATTTATTATAAACTCTACTGAATATAATCATTTTGAAATTAAATATTTTTCTAAAAAAATATCTGCCAAAAATAAAAATTTTGATTTAAAAAAAAAAGGAATTTTTAAGTTTCATCAATTGCTTACCCGTGATGTTGAATAATTATATAATATAAAATGGTATTTTTCAAAGTATGCAATAAAAAATTAAGCAAAAGTTTAAAAAGTCTACCAAAAAAGGAGAAAAAAAAAAACTTATTAACATTAATGCGTCTTGAGAAAAGATACTTCCGTTGAAATATGCGAATGCACTGATTTGAACCTTTGGAATAAAAAAGCAGCAATTTTCGAAATTTCTTTCCCAAAAGTACCCGATTTACTCTCTGGAATAAAACCGATTTTTTCCCCCCGCATTGCAACTCTATGGGAAGCTAGAAGTGTCTGTCTCGATTTTTAAACAAATTTTAAAAAATTTAGTGTTACAGACCTTAAGGCAGGGAAATATTTTGCATGCAATATAAAAGTGAAAATTAATAGCACAATATAAGAGACAATCGAAATGCATTTACAAAATCCGATCATCACGCGCTTTTTATTGAGAATTTGTGTTTCATAATTATTTCGACCGATCCGGATGCAAAGAAATAATCCGTTGGAAGTGTATAAACGTTTTGAAAATATTGATTTACTTATGTGTGACCTGTACTCCAACAACGACAGCCAACATCAGCAACCATTAAATACTTGGAGAAAACACCAGCAAACTACAATTCTAACTGAGGTTTTTAAACTAGTTCGTAGAACTTTGAAGGATTCGGGTAGCCATTATCGAGGTTGCGAATAACGAATAGTTAGCTACTTTAATTTGCATATTAAAACCCATTTACACCAGTGGTCAAGGCTTGTGAAAGCCGTCTCCTTACGCCACTCGCATAAAAAGAGTCGCGTAAAATCTGTATCTTTCCTTATGTCAAGAATAAAATAGGAGCAAAAACTATAATCTACAAAATAACAGCGCGCTTTTGATGTTGTTCTTTTACGTCGCACTAGAGCTTCACAATGGGCTATTGGCGACGGTCTGGGAAACATCCCTGAGGATGATCCGAAGACATGCCATCACAATTTTGATCCTCTGCAGAGGGGATGGCACCCCCGCTTCGGTAGCCCGACGACCTGCAGGCGAAGTCGAGCACTTTACGGTAGAACAGTTTAACGAGGACCAATACCGCACACCCTCGGTCCCTACGCAGACTGATCCAAGTGGTCACCCACCCGCGGTCAGTGATGCTTGACTTCGGTGATCTGCTGGGATCTTAACGATCAGTCCACTGTGGGACAGCGCGCTTTTGAAGTGAGGGGTAAAAGGTATCAAGTAATTGTCAAAATTCTTAATATGAAATATGATACGAGTTAAATTTGCAACTATAAATACAACGAAAATAAATTAGTAAAATTTATCTTTACAAAAAATGTGTTATAACTTTAAATACTATTTACAAAAAAATGAATATATGCGCAAAATATCCATTAAAATACAAATAAAATTAATAATAGTTGCATATTTATCGAAATAAAGTCCTGTCTGCAGTTTTAGAGAATATCATATTCTACCTACTATACAGACTAAACGTTATGAAATTCGTCAGCTAACAGCTCGTGAACTTTATTAGTATGTCTACTCATTAGAGGTAATTATCCTAAATGTTTTTTCGGACAAATATACTGTCATTGCGATTTAGTTTGATAATGGCTCAAATTTTATAACGTTTTTTTCCCTTCTCATTTGTTTTAACACGTTGATTGCCATGGGGGGTCACCGGCGAAGTCAAGATTATTAGAAACACATAATTCGAGTATATTTTGAATGCTTTTAATTTTATTAATACTATCGTTACTAAAATGGTTTGAAGAAGTTAATGCAATTGAGAAAATCATTTTGGCCAGACAGGCAAGCCTTGTAAAATTAGCGTGGCATTCAACGTGTTAGTTGGCCCTCTTGCTTATGCCTTCAATATTAACATTTTCATCTTGAATATAATACACACGTCAATTGAGAAAATTCTTTTTCATATTAGGTAATATTCACACCAAATTACAATTCCAGCTATTATCGAAGTTATCAAAAATGCTTTTCAGTTTTATCTGATAAAATAACTGGTTTTAATTGCTTTATTTCTAGCGTTACTGTGTTTGAATTTGATGATTGGTCATATTTTGAAAACGTTACTTGCGTTAACAGCAGGGGCTTATACCAGAAGCACTACTATCTGCTGAAAAATAAATACCTTACAGAATATGATTAATTTTCTTGTTGTAATGGTGATTTAAAACACTAGTGAATCTATTTAAGTTTAATAGAATGCTTTTAAAAAATACCGATTTTAATTTCCGGCAGTAATTTATAACAGGGTGCGTAGCCAAATCTTTGGATAAAAAATAAGCACTTTTTAAAAACCTTTCAAGAACTTCACAAAAATTTTCAAGCACTCAAAAAATTCATACTCAATTAATGATATTATTGAAAAATAAAAACCTTTTATAAACAGTTTAAGCGTTAAAAAAAAACCCAAAAAGAAACGGACGTAAATCGAAACAATCAGTACTTTCCCACATCACCGAGTGAATTCAACTTGACCCTTACCCCCTAAGTCAAAAAATTGTTAGAAGTAAAATAAAAAGAATAAAATTAAAACGAAAAACATTTCACGATCTGATATTCTCCATCCGAATTGGAGCACTCAGGCTTCGGTTTCAAGAGTGCGTGCATGCGCAAGTCAACGTGGGTACGACATGAAGTCCGCGTGAATGATTGCGTAGCGAACACCCCATTTTTTCGTGAAATGCATGGGATCCACCAGATATCACTGAAGGAAAAAAAATTATTCTTGGAAAAAAAGCACTTTTTAAAAACGCCAGCTGAAAAAAGCACCTTCAAGAGCTTTTAAAAACGAAATCCCCAAAAAAGCACTTGTATTTTTTATAAAAGCTTCACACCCTGTATAAAAATGTGAAATTTTAAAGAATTCATTGCTTCGATTAAAAAATATTAAAATCTATTTTCAGCTATTTTATTGTTTTTAAGTTACTTTAAAAAAATATAATAAAATGACTTTTAAGGAAGTAATAGATTTATGAGAAATTTCGAAAAGAAATACACGGAAAACATTTGAAATCAAAATAACGAATATTTATTTAGCTGCTTATTGCAACTGTTATATTTTTATTACATATTATTCGCTTAATTCAGAAAAATGACCAGGTTTGATTGCCTTTAAAGTTCCCAATATTCCCAGTTAAAAAAATAAGTCTTTTGCATTACTAATTTTAAGTAAAAATTTAAATTCATAATTTAATCAAATTAAAACATAAATAATGACAATATTTAGTTTCGGAGAAAAAAATGGCATTGAAACATTTTAATGAGTGTATTTAGTATTCACTAATTTTTCATAATTAATATTCTGTTGATTATAATCTAAAATATGTAGACATGACTTAAATTTAGAAATTAATATTTTCACATGGATATCATTCACCATTTAGAAGTGACTCTTAACTGTTACAGTAAGTGGTAGGGAAACGAAGTTTTGAGTCTGATGAAGACTTTGTTCACAGTATTTAGGTAATTACTGTATTTAAATGCTTCATAAAGTTTAACATTAGTTGAATTTATTTAGTCCTTTCAATTTAATATGCCTTTTTATTTATAATTATTTAATAATTATCATTTATTAATTATTTTAAAGTATGTAAAAACTTATTTAATGTACTACAAATACCTTAAGAAAATTTTAGAACGCATGAGGCATCAAGGGTGACATTTTCAGAAGAACGGCGGGGGAAAACAGCTGCAACTTTTGACTACTGTTTACTCGTAATACTGCACGAATTAAGTGAACGAAAACTGCTCATCTCCCTAACTGTCAAAGGGTTTACATCCATCAACTAATTTAAAAAATGCAATAAAGCAAATTTCAAAAACTGAAGGCCACATCCAGACAGATCAATTTTAATAACAAACTGTTTCATACAAGCAAAGAACAATCACAATGAGCAACTCACAAATGGCTTTTGAAAGTAGAGAATTTATATAACCACATTAGCTATTTGATCATACATCTGCTAAAAACATTCTAGTGGCCAATCATTCAGAGCATATACATGCACTCAAAATATTAAAATAAATGTCAGGCACCAGATCAGATGTACACATTTCCGGAACATTCAAATATTCATTAATATATTCTCAATCCAGAATGAAGGGGGGAAAAACTGATAAAAGCTACAAACTGTACAAAATTATGCCCCAGTTGGAGCTAACAAATGTTTATTTAAAGTGCAAGTGTTAATGTTTAACGTCATTTTTTCATAAAATTGAAACAGCTGTAATTCAAAGATCATCATCATCTTCATCCGGGAGTGAGGTGTTTTGGGCTTCCTAAAACAAACAGAAGAATAATTAAAGAATTAATGTTTGCTAATGGTAAAACATAATTTCAAACTAGCTGCCCCCTCCCAAAAAAATAACCAACAAGTTTTTAAAAAGAGACTAATGAACAAATTCATTGAGCTGATTAATTTCAAAGCCATAACCATGTTATTAACATTATATAAACCATCAAATTAATAAAATAAATCCTATATTTAGTTTAAAAAGGTGAAAAGTTGCTAATGGGAAAAATATAAAAATTTTTATAAAGAAAAATATACAATTGTCTCGAATAGAACTGTCTAACATTTCAGTCAGGCCTAGACCAGAAACTAAAATAAAGCAGAAAACTTAATACAGTACAGAACCCGTTATCCGGAAATCAGAAAACCGGAACGAAATTCGATAAATTTTCCCGCTATTTTAAATTTTTTTTTCTTTTTTTCTTCCTCATAAGATTTTAGGATTTTTCGTTCTTTTTTGAAAGATGTTTACCTTACCATCATTTTGGTAATAATCATTAGTGTATTACTTCATCGTTTTTTCTTCTTTTTATGATTATTTCCAATTGTTCTTTTTTTAGTTGGTTTTAACAATAAAAAAAATGGCTTGTTTCAGCGATTCAGAAAACCGAAAAAATCAGTTATCCGGATAATCGGTTCCCTACTGTAATAATTAAAAAAAAAAAAAAAAAAACGCCCTGTATTTACTCTTCTTACAGTTGAACATTATAGTCAAGTTAAAAGAGTGAACTCAAAGAAATAATCCTTCAATAAGCATAATTTAGCATCCTTAATTTAGTTAGAGGCTCTAGTAAATAATTTGCAAGATCATAAAAATAGTAAGTAAAAAAATAAAATTTAGTTTAATAGGAACATATATCTTTGTTAAAAATAATAAATACCTTCATGTCATTCTCTAACTTAGCTTGCCATTCAGGATCCATAGTTACTTCTGGTGGAGCCAAAGCAGGCATAGCAACGAACTCTAGATTAGGGTCTCCAATCAACTTCCTTGCCAACCATAAGAAAGGCTTCTCAAAGTTGTAATTACTCTTGGCACTAATGTCATAGTACTGGAATAAAAAAATTGTTTTAATGAGATAAAAAAATTAGACTTACTGTTTCTATCTTTTTAATTAATAAATAACCATTCATCATTTTAAACAATAAATTCACTTTCCCATCAATATTTCTGCAGACATATCACAATTTTGTAAACTAATTTGCATCATACAAAATAACAAACTATAAAATTCTGTAAATATTAAGAAAACAAATATACCTGTAAATTCTTTTTTCGGTGGAATACAATAGACTTTGCTTTAACTTTTCTATCTTTTACATCAACTTTATTGCCGCAAAGAACAATTGGAATGTTTTCACACACTCTGACTAAATCTCTGTGCCAGTTAGGTACATTTTTGTAGGTGACTCTTGAAGTAACATCAAACATGATGATGGCACACTGACCTGTAACAAAAAAGAACTACCGATTTAACCACACAAGTTTTATTTAAGCAGAGGTTATTGCGAGCCCAAGTCAAAATTCCGGAAAATTTCTTGAGCTTAAAAAAAATTTAAACAAGGTTTTTTTTCCCTTTTCTCAATATTTCTTAGTTTATTTAAAATATATTTAAGATTTTACACATACCTATGATGACCTGAAGAAGTAATTAGAATTTAAAAATATGTCTCTTTCTTGAGTTGATGATTATAACAACTATTTACTGATAAAAATAAATATTAATCATGAATAAGCTAATCATGAGCAAGTAAATTTCTGGCTCTCCCTTACAAGCAAATAAAATAAACTGTGTTTTTAAGTTCCACCTTTGAAAATTTGATTTCCGGAAACTTATGTGATCAATGATTTTTTGAAACATCTGGACCTTCAATCTCCGAAAATCCAGATTTTTCTGGAGCACAATTTTTAAGCTACTACAACAGCCATACTCAAAAAGAAGAAATTTTTCTAGACTTTTCTAGGTCAACCTGTATAGAATGATATAAAATAAGCAATAAAATTTATACTTCATAAAAATTTTAATTATTTATTTAAAAAATAAAATAAAAAATTAATATTTACTAAAAACAGGCAATGGGATATTCAAAAATCCTGGGTAGTCAAGCTCAGAAAACCTATTACCTTATTTTACCTGAATTTCTAATTAAGTGCCATGCCTTAATGAAAGTAGAAGTTTATTAGAATCGACACCTTTAAAATTATAATAGAGAAGAAGAAATTACGATAGAGTATGCTTACATTTATTGAAAGATAAATAAATTAAAAAATAAATAAATAAATAATCGAAATTAAGGAGAAGCACAAGAAATTGAGAAAAATAAATGTATACCTGTTAACACTTTTACATGATAAAAATTTGTTCTGAATGAAGCAGAAAAGGAAAATAAAAACCCACATTACACATATAAATTAATAAATGGCATTCAGTTATATCTTCAATAATTAAATTTTTAATTCAATGCAATCATCAAATAGCCTTAAATATGTAAAAGCTACACACCTGGGAAATAGCGTAGAAAAAAACTGAGAATTCAATATTTAATTAAAATTAGTATGGTTTAATATTTATTAATAAAATAATTAGTTTTTTAAAAATAATTTTGGGCAAAAAAATAACTGGGGTAACTAAACATTTTTGGAAAAATAAATTAGTATAAAAGGATTACCACTCTTATAATAGGAAAAATTAAGGACTCTTTGAGAAATCAAGGACCTTAAAATAGGATAATTTTTTATCATTAAATATGCAGATCANATTTTTTTTTTCAAAATATAAATATTTAAAAAAATTTTGTGCGAAATTTTTCTGCACATGCATTTGAATATAAATTTCTGAAATTTTAAATCTGTTATTTTACCTTAATTTTAATTAAAAAATATTTTAAAACCTGCTGATTACCTATAGTATAATTAAATTTCAATATAATGCATGGCAGCTGTCGGTAGTTTTGAAGTTTATATATTTTCTTGGCAAACTTAAGTTTTTGACGGTTTAAACCAGTATTATACCCTTGTCATGACAAAAACCACTTTTTGACGTCAAAAACCCAACCCTGATTTGTTCTTTACAGAATATTGGGACACCAAACACCTTAAATTTTCATTAGAAGTGCTTTACTTTTGAATTTATATTAACTTCATTTTTTTTTTAAACATTTACACTGATTACAATGATAGTACTTCATTTAAGTAAAAATTATCAGTTTTTATAAAATGAAATTATTTCAGTAACTTAAAAAAGTTATTAAACTACCTTTACATAATTGAACTCTTATCAGAACTAATGCCGCCATAAAAGAGGCAGGGCACAATTACTGAATGTATTCAATGCCACATAAATGGCAAAAATCAAGTCTATTTTTATTATATTCACAATTAATTTAATTATAAATATTATGGAGGAAAGTTAAATCTGAAGTATTTCCACATTGTTAAGGGTTAACATACTTGGAAATAGTACTTTTTATTTTTAATGATTTCATTGAAATTGGATAAGTATTCAAATCCTGCCCTATGAGGTAAATACAGGCCATACCAATATTCAGCCACATTAAATTAATTTTAATTGCTACACCTTAAATTAAGTCAGTCAGAAACTAGGCTTAATTCAAAACTTTTCATTACTCTTTGCAGTAAATAGTTTTCTGAAAAATAGGAAACTAGTAGTTTGATATAATGTAGCTGGGNACAGGGGGGGGGGGGAGAGACCAGTGAAATGTGTGTTGTTTTAAAGTTGTTTTTAACTAATGAAAAACCCCATTTGAATTTACTTTTTGATTCATCTTATGAATAAAAATACCATTTAATGGAATAATGGAACATTAAAAAAAATGGAAAATTATACTCTAACATAACTTATTTAAATTGCATTACCTTAATTTCCATTTTAAACTAATAGAGTAAATTTCAATTGTGTCCTTACTCAAGAAGATTCTGTTATTAACATTAAAACAATATATCGCATTTATGATAATTAAAAAAATAATTTATTACCTTGAATGTAATAGCCATCACGTAGTCCACCAAATTTTTCCTGACCAGCAGTGTCCCAGACATTAAATCTAATTGCTCCTCTATTAGTATGAAACACTAGAGGATGCACTTCAACCCCAAGTGTGGCTGCAAATCATAAATTTTTTTAAATAATCTTCAAAAAATGTCAAATATTTAATTTTAACATTCTATATAAACCTACTCAGTAAATTTCACAAACTTATGAACATTATAATAATGATATAAATGTAATGTTCTTATAAGAATCACTTTACAACAAAAACTATTTTAATATAAAAAAAAAATATAATACACAATGCTCTTTAGTTCTACCCCCTCCCATTACTGCATATGTTTGAAAATTATATTCACATTTTGTGAAGCGCTTATATTATTTACATTTTTCAATTTTGTATTGTTTTCTGAACACATATTCTTTAGAAAAATGGCTGATCATAACCAGTGTCACAGTATATGCTTAGAAAAAAAAAATTAAAATTTAAAGGAAGTAGTTAGAAAAATGCAATCAAAATTAAAAGTGCTAAATTATTCAAGATCCCAAAAAACATGGTACGATGTAATTCTGCAAATAAGATAATGTATAAATTAGAGATGTAACGAATAGTGATTTGGCCGAATACCGAATATTGAGCAGCTAAATAGCAACTTAAAAAACAATAATGATTTTCTAAGTATATATAAATTAGTATAATATAACACGTATATACAAGTCTACTCTATCAGAAACACGTAAAATTGCACTGCTATCATAAAAACGTCTACAAAAGGATATATATAAAAGCCAAACAGAAAAATAAAATCTCAATTTAACTTTATTCTCATTATATTTGAAGAAAAAAGTGAACATGAAAGATTAAAGATCATTAGAAACCTTCTGTAAAAAAATTGTGATACAATAAAAAGTCTAAAAAAAAGCAAGAGAAACAGAAGGAAAAAGTTATGATAGAAACACTGTGCTATAATTAAAACTGAAAATCATCAGAAACGAAACAAATAAAAAAGTTCTAATTCCTTAAAAAAAAAATGATGAAATAGACAGGCTTGAAAATAATTTAAAAAAAAAATAAATAAATAAACAGTACAAAAATTTATAGTTTAATATAAAGTAATCTAGTTTCAATACTTCCAAGTGTTACTTTTCCATTTGTCTCTCAGAACATTAACAAGATTTAGAACTTAATAAATAAGTGGCAGAACTATTTTTAATAATGTATAGTGAAAAATACGATTTTAGATTATTCTTCATCAAATCAAGCCAAATTAAAAAAAAAAAAAAAACTTCTTAAAAAATACTTTGCTAAATATTTAGCAGAACATCTGGTCAACCAAATATTCGTTACATCCCTAGTATAAAAGCATAGATCTTCATGAAATTTGAAACAAGCTGGTTTGCCTAAGTGATTCTAACTATTCTTTCATTTGATACTGGGCTGCATAGACTTGAATGTAGATTATACTAAATCTTATGTAGAAAAATAATGCAATCAAGAAATTTATGCACCAAATATTTATGGTAACTTCAATAAATGCTTGAATTGATTGAATAAATTAACTCATTCTATTTTTTGTAAATTACAATTAGTTTACTTATAAGGAAATTTGTTAGACATGATTAATTGGAAATATTCATGTATGGTTACATAGTAAAAATTCGATTTATCAGGAACTATTCGTCCAATTTCGCTCGAATTTTAGATTTTGCCATGTAATATTACATGTAACAAATGCTGCAACAAAAAAAATTTTACTGTATAATTCAAAACTTTTGACCATTAAGCGTTTCAAACTTTGGAGCACTCTCAAGACCAAACTTCCTAGAACTTTGAAAACAAAAAAAATTGCCAAGTTAGATTCTTTTTTGGCATATGACAAAAGCAGAGCAAATAGTGTTTGAAACAGCAGGTAAACAACCAATTAGTCCCATAAAAACTCACCAACATATTTTTTCTCAAATTCACCAGTTACGTGACGTTTAACAAAAGTTGTTTTTCCAGTACCTCCATCTCCAACGAGAACACACTAGAAAGATGAAAGCCACAATTTATTTTTTAGAAATGCTAAAAATAAAAATAGGACACAAATTTCTACAGAACCACAGTATAGAAAAATTCTAGCTCAGCTTTATTTTAAATGATAAATTAACTACGGAGTACTGAGTTTTATTCAAGCAATAATTGTCAACTACTTGATGCCTACTCAAAACAGGGTTGGCTTTTTGCCGGCAGAAACTGGTTTTGCCATACCAGTGACAGAAACCGGTAAAAACTGGCAGAAACTAAGNAGCGGCAGAAACTGGTTTTAACCGGTAAAAACTGGCAGAAACTTAAAAAAAAAAAAACTTCTATATTAGTTCTAGTAATTGCCAGAATTTTACTTACCAATATTAACCCAGATTTTGTACTTTATGTTGTAGCTTTGCAAAACAAATCTGCCCCATTTCCTGCCCCAGCTGCTACATGGTGGTCCAGTTTTAAAAAATATTCAATAGATGAAAGTTTCACAAATCTTGCTTGTTCCTTGATGGCAATGCCTGCTAGTTCTGCTGGAGTTCAGGTTTAGAAACTGCATCAAAACTTTTCTTTTGTTATAGATTACTGCAGAGTGCAAACAATGCAATATTTGATTTTGAATGGTGGTAATTTTGTAAATAAATTGTACTTTATTTAACATTTGCTTCTCCTATGAATTATCCATTGCATGTCAATCTCAGTACTTACTTTTATGTCATTTTCTGAATTTCTGCCACAAATTTGGCAGAAAAGGGTTTCTGCCATGCCAGTTTTAACCGGTTTCTACCAGTGGTTTTAACCACTTCGACAGAAACTTGCCAACCTTGACTCAAAACCATATCTATCCAATAAATAAGCCGGATTCTGATTTCGGATCTGGAAATAGGGTCCCCATAGTTTGGTCAGAACAATCAAAGCCTGAACCCTGTTAATGAAAATTTTACTTTTCGTGTATATTGCCATATCACAAGAAATTTTCAAGTGAATTGAAAAGTTTGTGAAACAATATTAAATTTGTTTATCCAAAGACAATTTCCAAGTAAAAAAAGTATTTTATTAAATAGTAGTGCCAAACTTTTTTTAATTGTATGGTATACAATTTTTTACATCAATGTAAATTTACATAACAAATAACAAAATTTGAGCAAAATCGGTTGAATAGTTCGAGAAATTTGATTTTAAATGTAAGCATGGCTGCCAATACGGATAGTATATTACATATTTTACACTTTGGGAATTTTAAGGATTTCTATGGTTATCAAAATAGAAAAACTAATATTTTCCAGTTATGACTTCACATTAAATGTTGAAATGTTATTACACTTGGTCATAATTTTAAATAGTAATAGGCACTTAATTGATCAGATCTAGTTAGCTGACCTTGCTTCCTTATGTATTAGTGAACCAGGAGAATTTTTATTAAGCCAATATGATAGGAGAAACTGGCAAAATCCAGTAGAGCTGGCAGCAATGTATAAGACTTCTGTAAAATTAAGACTTATCAGGAACTATTCAACTGACTTGGCTCAAACTTTGTATTTTGTCATGTAAAATTACATGCTTTAAAAAGAAAAAAATTATATTCTTTACATTTCAAAATTTCTTCTCTCCATGGAATTATCTTCAGGTGATAAATTCTATAAATGAGCGAAATTTTTTAAAAAATTCTCGGAGTCCTCAAGTTATGGCGAAATATACCCAAAAAGTAAAATTAACATTAAGGGGTCCAAACTTAGGATAGCCTTTCTGACCAAACTATGTGGACTACATTTTCCAGATTACAGCGATACTTTAAATTTTAGAGGTAGAAATTTGAATCTGTCAAAAGAAAGGTATGTTTATTCAGAGAAACTACCTTTTTGTGCCTGCGTTTACTATTGTCTGCACTAATTATTTAGTATATTTGAGGTCACCCTCTTGAACCTCTTTGAACTAGAATGTGAAAATCTGATCAATATATCAAAAGTTATTCAGGGTGGTCCTTTTTGGTGAATTGTACATTTTCCTTTTAGATTGATTGTACATTATTTTCAACATATATATTAATAATAAGACAAAGGAAAAGCAGTGAGAAATTCATTCTTATGTACATAAAATTTCTGCAAAAAAATTTCACAATTCATTTTAGATTATGAATTACTTACATCTAACATTTGAATTGATGACTGAACAGATATAAATAAAAATGATTTATAGCTGTTGACATTATTTAGAACTAGTACTATCAATTCAAACATTTTACACTTTTAATTCAAAGTTGATCATACCTGAAGAAAAACAATAAAATGTAAATGTATTTTACTAGGTACTCAAGTTCTCTTAATTCTATACCAGCCAACTGTCTTGTCTTAAAATGCAGAATTTACTTATTTTCAATTTCTATTCAAAGAATACAGTACAGTTAAAATTCTTATGAAAAACTTTTAAAGCAGATAGGATAAAACGTGCTTCAACACATTCAAATAAATCTGATACAGAAGAAAAATGAGTTCCTTTTATACTATGTCCTACATTTTAAATTTTATATTAATTTAAGTCCAACATCAGGTTGAAGTATAGAAAAAATTAAACACATGAAATTGCAATGCACACATAAGGGGTTTCAAGGTACAAAATTTTATTAAATGTTTTTAAAATATAGAAAGATTTAAGTCTCAAAGCAAAAAATGAATGCTAAGAGCTTCCACAAAATGTAATTAAATTTTTTAAATGCAGGCAGCATACTTTTAGCAGTCGAGGCATAAAGCAATTAGAGAAAAAGTTTTAAATAAAAAATAATTAAAAGAAAAGCAAAAAATTAGCCAAAAGAAAAAATAAATAAAATAAATCTTACCTTGAAAGTAGGAACTCCATCACCCTGATCCAACATATTCTACATAAAAGAAACAAATATAATTATTGGTACAGGGCAATTTCAACTAACAAGAGTTGCAAATTAACAGCCATTGACTTATAAGCCAAAAGATTATATTTGTGCTGTGTTCAAAAGTAAATGAAACTTTTTAAAAAAAATGGAAAGAAAAAAAAATACTGGATAGCTAACGTGTAACACATAGCTCTCCTTAGCATAGCAGTATGCCTATGACATGATAAAGACCATGGTACTTCAAGATCTTAAAATTAGGTTTTAGTAACAGGACTTAACTTTTCTCAAACTAAAGGCAACCACTTCTCCTAAGTTTTTGATTATCATGTTCAATTAGGAAAATTGTAGCTCTAGCAGAATCTAGAGAAAGTTAGAAGCACTATCTTTAATGCTAATTTATATACAACCAATAGATTGTGAAAATTTAGCTTAATCTAAAAAAATTAGAAAAATCTGAAAATTACGGGACTAATAATACATTAAAACAAATGTTACTTAAATTTAATTTGAATCTTATAAAATATTCTTTTAAAAAAAGATCGGTAGAAAGGTAATACAACCTTATATACTATGTTCTCTTAATTCGAATTCATAATTTTGATTAGTAACAAGTTTTTCTTTTTTTTTAAACAGCAATTTCCAACCAAAAGAAATAAGTTTCTACCAATAAAGAAACTTTCATTATGAAATATTAAAACACTTTTATTACAATAGAATTTAAAAATTTGATTTCAAGTTATTAAACATTTTTAAATAAGTTTAAGATGCAACTAGAAAAACTTAATTTATAGAATGTGCAAATTAAAATACTTCTAGCTTTTCAAAACCCAATCTAACAGTCAAAATATTTAATTAACATATTCAAACTTTATTAATGTCACTTTAAGATTGCCCAGTCTTCACAACTTTCAGGCACATGAGTAACTAAAAAAATATCACAGAAAAGGACCGACACACCTCATGGCTTCTCATGGGCAAATCTGCATGTTTCTATATAATTTTTTTTATTATTTAAGTTTGGAGCTTTGTCAATTGTATGTGGTGCAGTAGATCACTATACAGAAATATTCTCCACAAATGTAAAATCTTTACAATCCTAGGCAACAACCACAAAAAAATATAATTTACATTTTAATATATTCACTACTTACTTTCCCATAATAGCACATATTGAACACTAAACAAGGACAGTATAATAATATAAAAACCACTGAAGTCCCATAATGAATCGTAAATCAAGGTGAACAAATAAATTAAGTTAGTATTAGGAATATTAACTGCACTTTGCAATACCACAGTTACAAGGATAGAACTTTTAGCTTTCTCTATCAAGGTGAAATGACAATAGGATACACTACATTCTAAAATTTACACTATAAATAGGTTAGTACAACTTTCCTTACCCCTATAACAAACATCTCTATTTATATAAATATTTCAATGTTATAATTTTAAATTCCTAAATTTGTTATCACTTAACATAAGGAAATATTCAAAGTAAAAAAAGGAGAAATTGCCAGGTATATATATTATCTTTACTTAAACGATGTAAAAATTTACCAATAATATTGGTGGGAATTCGTACCATGTGTTAATAACAGCATTTAAAAAATAAGAAGCACCATTTGAATTGAGATCATTAAAATTAACCCTCTAACCATGAAATTAATTTGATGACATAGAAAATTAATTACCTATTATATTTAAAAAGTCTTACAATACTAATAACAAGCGCTTGAAAATTTACACAAAACAAGGTAAGGACTAAAAATTGGTATTTAAATAATATCAACAATTAACAAGTTTAACTATATTTTCATAATGCAACAAAGATAAAGAAAAGAACGAGCAACGTTGTTCCTTTTTAAAAAGATAGCTAGACGTGACAATGAGTCTTGGGCCTAAGAGAATATAAAGACGCATGTGACTCATGCAAAAGAATTGCCGTACCGGCTAACTTATTTAAAAAATAGAGAAATATTATGAGAAGGAACCGCATGTACTTACTCAGAAATTTTACAAAGCACAAAAAGTAAAAGTAAATGATGACTTTACAAAACAAATAATTTAAATAGGTGAATAATTTTCAGACAACTCCTGCACGTCCAAAATATAGAGAAAGAGACGGAAGGAATGGCGGGAAGAGATGAGTAGTGCAGTCTAAAAACAACTCAAATATAAAACACCAGATCGTTTTAAGTAAAAGAGATTCAGACTGGAATAGTTTAATTCTCAAAGATGCGTCGAAATCGTAATTGAGTTAGGACCTTGCTATATTTAATTTGGTATGCCTCAAGCATTGTAGTAAAAATGAATCAATGTTTGGCGTAATGAATTCAATTTGTTGTTATTGTTTTTGTTAATTTGCGTCGCACTAGAGCTGCGCAATGGGGAAGTAGTATAGAGATGGGAAAGTAGTATGACTGATAAAGGAAAGAGAAGCAAGACAATGATCATCTGAATTATTTATTTACCAAAGATATTACATGTGCTGAGGTAGATGACATTTGAAAATGTCATAAAAGATGTTCAAAGTTCCCACCATTGCTAGCGATGCACGTGTTACACTGTCGGGCCAAGGATTGGTGGCTCAAATCACCAGGATTTTATTCGATATCCGCAGCAACACAGATAATACTTGCAACCAGTACCAGGTTCATTTAGAAACACACATGTGTTGCGTGTGCAGCACTTTTCAGTCAAACTATATCTAATCCAGCGGTGTCCAAACACCCGATTTGAATGTTCACAGACGCATCTGCCATTATGGGGAGGTGTTCCATCACGTTGAAATCACATATGGAGTCTGACACATGGCACAGGGTCAAGTAAGCTTGGTACAGTCAAACGAAAAAATGAGTGAGCACTGTGACGTAAAAGAAAAAAGTGTTAAACGATCCCTTTTTTGTGGGTAGATAATCAATTCAAACACACAGGATTGAAAAAAAATAAATATATTCCAAATCCCTACATACGTGTCATTTTTCCTGTGTTGCAGATGAAAAAAAAATGTTTTTTTCAGGTAGGAGTGTAATTTTCGCCCCCAAAATTAGTCTCTCATTTCCTTCAGGTGTAGACAAAGGAAATTTGTTTCCCGGGTAGGTGAGATAATTCAAATGAGCTTTCTCTAAGAAAAGAATGCAATTTTTTTCCAAAATTGGTGTTTAGAGTATCATAAAAATGGGACAGGTCCCGAAATGCGGGGATCTGTCTCATTTTGAACTGACATGCTTGGAACCAGTGGCGTACGCAGAATTTTTTCAAGGGGGGTGTTCATAATTTTCCGGAACTACTAAAAGAAATTCGAATCTGTAATAGAGCACTATGATTTCCCTAATTTAGACAGCTGGACAATTTTGACTTTTTATTTAGACAACATTGTTTAGTTAAATTTTAAGTTTAAGAACATATTGTAATATCTTCTGAAAAAAGTCCAATGTCATATGGGTGGAAAGTACCACTTTGAAGGCCACTTTCACATTCATCAGTTTTTGTTATGCTAGAAACGTTTTCTTCAACGGAAATATCACATTTCTGTTCAACAGAAAAACTTACATTGGTACTAGATGCTGTCACCTTACTAATTTCAGGTTGTGAATTTTTCTCAAAATAATTAAAAATTGCTAAATTCTTGCGTTTTGACACCCTAAAGATACAGCAATATATATATATATATATATATATATATATTGGCACAGAAATATCCTCTATGCTACGATCTCAAAGTTTCGAGCTGGAATGAATAACTTCAACGAGCACAGTATCTCCAATGGTATTGTTACTGATTTCTTCACTAGTCGAAATAGTGGCAACGACGGGTTCGGCGATTGAATGAACTTTTTGTTGAGACAAAACAAAACAGATTTAACGACAAGCTCCGAAAGACAAGCGGCAGAGATAACTCTTAGTCTGACTAACTAACTTCACTGTACTCCGTTCCCCCTTTTATGTAATTTTTCACCGCATCTCCAAAATTCTCGAATTGTCTCAAAGACGACAGAACGTCTAGGATTACAGAATCATCACGTAAAGACCTCGTGAATGACAGCCAATCTCGAAAACTATACTGGCTGGACAGAAAGGAACCAGTCCGTAACGGTATCACGTGAATTTGGTTTCAAAAGTACAACCCTATTATAGTAAATGTTTTTTCAGTACTCTGAGACCCCGCAGTGGACTGATCGTTAAGACACGGTTCCCATCAGATCACCGAAGTCAAGCATCACTGGCTGCAGTCAGTGTGCGGGTGGGTGACCACTTGGATTAGTCTGCGTAGGGACCGAGGGTGTGCGGTATTGGTCCTCGTTAAACTATGCTACCGTAGAGTGCTCGACTTCGCGTGCAGGTCGTCGGGCTACCGAAGCGGGGGTGCCATCACCTCTACAGAGGATCAAAATTGTGATGGCACGTCTTCGGATCATCCTCAGGGATGTTTCCCAGACCGTCGCCAATAGCCCATTGTGCAGCACTAGTACGATGTAAATGAACAACAACAGTACTCTGAGAAATACCGTGAGAAAAAAAAAGTAGGCATAAGGCTAATAAAAATATATAGTCTTAAAAAATAATAGCTGGCATAATTTCTACTAAAATTTTTATTTTTGCCGTTTTGTCTGAGCTCAAGGGGGGTGTTTAAACCCCTAAACCCCTCCCTTGCGTACGCCACTGCTTGGAACTTTAGACATTGGAAAAATGTTTAGCAGATGTGAAAATTTCCAGGTCACTAATTTAGGCTCCTAAGTTTTGAAATGAAAAATTTTCATGGTTAGCATCTCGAATGTAACAAAAGAATGGTGTTTCTTATCTTTTCAATGGACATTAGAGGGTGGTTTTTTCAGGATCTTTATACCTGCTCAATTTGCTTGGTGGACATTATGGAGCCTCAAAAGACAAGATGTCATCATATTTTTCACAAGAAATAGCTTGAAAAATGGATGGTGGACAGAAAAACTAGTCCGCATCGCCGCACACAATTGATTTATTGAAAACAAAAAGTGGGATAGGTACCCTATTTGGGACCTGTCCCATTTTTCGTAACATTCTTGGTGCCGCCCATAAATTTTTTTCATTTTAACATTCATGAGCCTCACAAAGCGATTAAAATTTTCAACCGCTCAACATTTTTCCATTCGCAATCGCAACGCTCGAATACGCCATCTGGGAAGAAGACGAGTTCCATCTCCTGACTCTCCCCCTTCCCTCTTCTCAACTGTACAGGAATGTACTACGATATTTCCTTCTTTCTCAATATTTTTTGTATTTATTTATCAAAAATATTTTCTGAAATTTCCACCATGCTTTCTTTTAGAACTATGTTCAATGAAGTTTTCAGTTTACATGTAGTTAATTAACTTAAACGTTTTTAATCAATCTGAAAATCAGGACAGAAACTAATGTTTTTCCTTCTCTTTATGACTTTCCACAAGCTAATGGGGAAAGCATGTAAAGTATTGTCATTGATAGAGAGTTCTGCTCTACGCCATCTGCAACCCATTTCGATCGCCAATTGTCTGAAAGTTGCAATCATGTCATTTGAAAATGGGACAAGTCCAGAAATGCGGGATCCTGTATTCCTGTACCATTTTCAACTGATAAGCTGTTAAATTTTTTATGATACTCTAAGTAGCAATTTCGGAAAAAAATGCATTTTTCCACAGAGGCAACTCTTTTGAATCCCCTCACCTACCTGAAAAAATTGCTTTGGTAACATCTGAAGAAAACGAGGTACCAATTTTAGTTAAAATTACTCTCTGATCTAAAAAAGCAATTTTTTTTTCATCTGCAAAGCTTGATATATGACAAACATATTGAGATGTGAAAATTTATTGATCCACCAACCAGGCACCAGGTAAATTACCAGTAGGAATTAATTTATTTTTTCATTTGAAATTATTATTTAACCATCCAAAAGGAATCGCTTTACGTTTTTGATTTTTTTTTCTGATGGGGTCACGGTAATTTTCCAAGTGACTAGCAGCTTTTGCGAAAAGATGTAGGTAGGTAGGTTCTTTAATAACGTCGCACTAGAGCTGTACAATGGGCTATTGGCGACTGTCTGGGAAACATCCCTGAGGATGATCCGAAGACATGCCATCGCAATTTTGATCCTCTGCCGAGGGGATGACTCCCCTGCTTTGTTAGCCCGACGACCTGTGCGTGAAGTCGAGCACTTTACAGTAGAACAGTTTAGCGAGAACCGATACCGCACACCCTCGGTCCCTACTCAAAGCTGATCAAAGTAGTCACCGACTCGCTTACTGACTGCAGCCAGTGATGCTTGACTTCGGTATTCTATTGGGAAAGTCTTTACGATCAGTCCATGGCGGGACTAAGGAAAACTGAAATTTTTTTCAGATGTTATAGGTCAGGGGTGGCGAACCTTTATATACCAACGTGCCATTTTTTCTAAAAAATTGTTTAATGAGGTCATAGACGTGCCGTCAAATAATTTTGACTTCGTGATTATAGGGAAAATAATACTACTAAATACTATCAACTCAAAACTCATTAATTGCACTGAAGAAAAAAACATTTTGCCATGTCTTAAAACAACTTAAAGTAACATCAGTGTGACTTCTGTTGTTGCAGATTAGATGACAAACAATTTATATTAGGTTGTAAGATGTTAGTTAAGCAGGACTGTCAGTTTTTTTTGCTAGTTATTTATTGTTAGTTTGTTTTTTATGGTTATTAATTGTTTTTTTAGCATTAATTGTTAATTTTTTTATTAATAATTGTTTATTATTTTGTTTGTTTTATGTGAATTTTAATTTAATTGTTACATATGCTTCATAGTGTAATAACATTTGTGTAATAACAATTCATAGTGTAATAACATTTGCAATCGGTCGCGTGCCCAAAATATTGTGTCTCGAGCCTTAAATGTCGCGCGTGCCATTGGTTCGTCATCCTTGTTATAGGTGATGGAAACAAGTAAGGTCCGAGTAAAAAGTCGCTGACCACACCAGCCCAAATATTAACCGAAAAATGATGTTGTGAAGCATGGTCCCCAGCCTACAGCCCAGCTCACAGAGCCTGACTAAGGCAGGGACATACGAGGCAGTTGCCCCGGGCCCTCACATTAGAGGGGGCCCCTAAATCAAATAGAAAAAAATATCAGTACAGTGAGAAATCCGTCAGTTTAATGTTAGCTTCTTCATTAATCTATCTAACGCAAAAAATCTATCTTTCGTAAATTCATAGCTTTCTAGGGAGGAATTCTGCTAAATT